CCTGCCTTGCTGCCCTAAATTCTGAAAGCTAGTCAGCTCTGCTGTGGATCTGTATAAACTGTCTTTCTGCGTGAACCAGACCTGCCTCCAAAAATTAAACTCCAGTCATTCAGAAATCATATTTTATAAGGTGCTTTGAAAAGATTTTCAAAACTGCTTCCTGCTCTATCTACTATAACCAATTTGATGCTACTTGGCAAAACAAAAAATAATGATCTCTCCTTACAAAAAAAATATTTTCCCTTTCTTTCCAATAGTTTTGGGATTGGTTAAACTCAAGGTTGCTTCCCTAACACTAATAACCTTTACCTTCAGCTTTTACTCCAAGTACACTTAAGTGCTGCCTGGGTCATACTCTAATCATGAATACAGCATATAAAACGTATTTAATGTTAGGAAGAACTGCATGACTCCAGAGACAAAAATGAAAGTTAAGCTGAAAAGCAGAAAGGAAAACTGGCATTCAAGGCTTTTTCACCATCTGGTGCTGACTCTCTCTTGCCCAGCTCTTTCCCTCTACCCTTCTGATCACTCTGGTTCTGGCCCTGAAAGACCTTTCTCTACATACTATTTGTCCTATTTCCATTTCCACATGTCCAAATCCTACCCATTCTTCAAAGCATGGTTTAAATGTCAAGTCTTCTCCCATCCTTACAACTAAAAGTAATCTCTCTAAACTCTTGCAGCACCTTATCTTCATCCGTTTGCCCCGTTGTTACTTTCTGCCTTACATTATCTTTGTTTCCATATTTAATCTGAAACATAAGCATAAAGGCCTCAGGGTCAAGGTTCATGGACTATTCATCTCTATTCAAACTGCTTAACACAATACCCTGCAAATATTAAGCACTCCAATAGCTTGGGTTAGTGGAGAGACATCCACTAGAAACAACTCTAGATAAGGAATCTGGAGACCTGGCTTTGCTAATAACTAGCTATATGACCTTGAGCTTCAATCTTTTAGTATGTTATCTACAAAGTGAACAGGATGAACTGAACCAGTTTTTAATTATGGACTATTATCCATGAGAAGGCTATAAAACCAATTTGTGGGGTCAAACCCAGCATTTTTTTCAATGAAATGAAACAGAATAAAAAATATCAAACTGTTGGATGCAGTGGTGTGCTGTAAATGCTTAACAAATGGCTATTCAGAAGGGAGAAAAAAAGCCCTGTAATGTACCAATTGCTGATTTCCCTGGTGTAAATACTCCTACCATGGTCAATTTCAAGCTACCACCAGGATGTCACTGAACAGTGGAGCTAGGTGGTAAGAGAAAGGCACCACTGCTCATCAGCCAGCATGATGAGGCAGCTCCAGCAAGGTCCTTAAAAGAGAACTATTATTTCACCAAACTTTTCGTTCAAGTTTGTGTGTGTGTGTGTTGAATCAGTGTACAAAAGTATTACTGTGAGTCACAGTCAAAACAGTTCAGCTAAATAATCCAGTTTCTACCATGTGCACTACACAATTCAGTAAGTCTCACTCTTGGTTACCTATGTAACCTCTTTACCACCAAAATTTATATTTCTGTTCAAAAATGAGAGTAAGAGAGATGCCTATTGATATTACTGGAAGGCAAATTCCAGGGAGTGGAAATTTGGCCTAAGAAACATCAGTGAAGAGCCAAGGTTCTCAGCCTTTGTTCAGCCCCACACACCTGAGGGACACAACACGCTGTTACAGTAGCAACCACTCATTTAGCAAAGGGTTGTTGTGGGGAGAGGCGGAGAGGGAAAAGAAATCTATAGTATGAAAAAATCCAAGTAGTGATATTTGTGCCAATGCCTCCATCCCACTGAGGATTGAGTACAGAGAAAACCAGTGCTATAGGTTTATTTCTATACCTGATGCTTCCCAGCCAAATTCTCCAGCACAAGCTTGCTTTCCTCAATGCACCTCCATTACTGAGAATTCTCTACTAGAATTAAGTTTTTTGCCATGGACTGGAGTGCTTGTTTAATTTAGAATAGACGAGGGGGAAAATAGCAAACAGTTGTTAGGCTTGATATTCTGGGAAAACTAGGCTTTTACTGAAGAAAAAGAAAAACTTTCCTATTTTCTTACTTGTCATTTAAGCTTACTAAACTGGGTAAGGAGAGAGGAAGTTTCTTGAATATATTTTTGGCTGTACTATGTCTATCACAACAACAGTCTGTAACCAGATTTTTCATGACTGTTTATGAGGAATTGTGTTTTCTATTTTTAAGGCTATTTAGAAAACAAGAAGGCTCAAAATTTCAAATATACTAATAATCTTTGCCCAAATCTAACTCCAAATGAACTGAATACATGCCTAGAAGTTTCCCAAGAAAATCCCCAAAAATTGTACTAAAAAACACCTAACGAGGACAAAAAGGAGTCAGCATGAGCAGAAACTTGCTATATGCAAACAATTACGGCATCCTATCTGTTGAATGAGTGCAATATTGAAAGTAAATGAAATATGAAAAGAGAATGTTGAGATGCAAGTTCTGCTTAATTCCATTATTAGAGTCCACTGATGTTCATGTACTTATACCCAATATCAAATACTGACCATAAAATGAGAATTATTCCCCACTCTGAAAAGAGTCAAGTCAAGCAATGTCTTTCTTCATGTCACAATATTAAACCTCTTATTAAAAATTGAGTATGTTTTACCATAACTCAGGTGCAAGTCTTTACTTTCTCTGCCTCCGCTATCTGTGGCAGCAAATGCTCATAAAACTCTCTCTGTAAAAAATTCCTGAGCATCTTTGCAGTACCACAGCCTGAAGCCTTGGGCTGCTGGTCATCCTCAGACCCAGTGGCTGACCTAGTAATATAAGGCAAGAGCTACATACATGTAGCAAGTCAGTACAACTTGTGAGACATAGCAAAAATGCTCTGGGCTTGGGAATCCCATAGGCTACATTATCTATTTCATTCTCCAAACGCCCTCCATCCAGTCATGATCATCTGCACAACACTTCAAGACAATGGTAGGCTGGAATGCAGGCCCAGTTCTACACCTTCAATACAAGAAATTTTTGCTATTTAGCTAGTACTACCTTCAAAATTAATCTCTAGAAGCCTGGCTATCTCCCCCTCATAATATTTTTACTTGGCATAACAGAATTCCTTCTTTTAACTATTCCCAGGAAATGGATAAAAGGACCTTCAGCTTTAATGCTGTATCATCTGAGTTCAAATACCTATACAGCAATTGAACTAGTTCAAGTTTGGGTTAAGGCAAAGAAAAAAAGTTTTATTACAAGTTTTTAGAAGGCACACATTTAGAACTGCTGAGCTGATAAACATGAAAATTCTTGTTTCACATGCCTAATAAAATTCTGTCATTCCAGTAAAACACTTGAGAATGACTACTAGAGTGAAAAGAAAATGATCTGAATCATGAAACAATTAGCAAAGGAACAAAAATTCTCAGAATATCACAACTATAATAAATAAAAATTCACCCCCCAAAAAAAATTCCCATCAAATAAGTCAGGCCAAGAAAACTTCATACATTTACAGTCACACCTTTTTATGTTGATTGGTGTATCCACTGTGAGTCCCAGCAGTCCTGAGTACTGTTTACTACTACCTTGTTTCCAGCTTTCTAGAATACAGCGTAGGCTATATATATATTCACACATAAGCACTGACCAACTACATCCACTTCTTCCCCCCTCCTCCCATGACTTAATACATATCAGAGCACATTTTGAACTGATTTAATATAAACACCAGTCTAACTGTTTCAACTCCTCTAGCAGGTAAGCATTTAATACAATTTGGTGATAATGTATACATTAAACTCATCTAGTCTTTCCCCTTTGCAATTTAATTATCAGTTTCACATGGGACTTTCTATTGAAATAATGAATCATAGGCCAGTTTTCCAGGGCTCGCAGCTTCTGGACCAATTTTCCATGGACGAAAATCCACTTTTAATTTGACCACAAGCAAACATGATGTTTGTATCACGGTATTGCATAGTCTACAGAATTGTAACAGAAGCCAGATATAAACACTATTACGAGAAAAGTCAGAAGGTTTTCATGAAATTGTTTTCAGAATTGCAACAAGCGACTACCTACCTTCCATCATGTACAAGAAAAAATCCACGTGTTTAAACTCCCTAAACCATCCAGTACCAAAAATGCAGGCCTTGACATCGGTTTATCAACAGCGCCGAAATCTGACACACAAGCAAAAGTTCTCACCAACACTGCAGAGGTTGGTTTCCCTTCACTTACATGAAACCCTCAACTGTGCAATTGACTACCTAAATTTTAGCACTTGATAATCCTATCCCAGAGGTACAAGGAGAATACACAGAGCACCTGGACACATTGCCCTGGGATCAGAAACAAACCCTGTCAGTCCATCCCCTACCACTCGGCCACCTCCCGCAGGCGGTGGCCCCTTTCCACATGCTGACGCACAGCCCAGCCCTGCACCGTTGGCGACCAGTGCAAAGTACTAGCCCAGTCTCAGAAACTTTGGTTCAGTTACCAGGACACTGAGCACCCACGACCTGGACGGGGGATGTTTGTCGTGGCCAGGTGGTCAACTCTGAAGCGGGGCATTCCTTGCAGGTAGAGATCTGCCCGGGACGCAGCCCATCCCAGGCTGCTAAACCAGAAGCATCAACCGCAGGACCAGAGCAAAGTACCGGGCGGAGACCCAGGAGCGCGAGGGCGAGACACGATCACGAACAGAAGCCAGAGTGTGGGTAAGACAACACCCCAACCACACGCCCCCCGGACTGCTGGGGCTGCGAGCCCCGCAGCGGGCACCGCGCAGAGGCGGCAAGGGGGGAGGCTGCCAGGGGCGCGCGGCGAGCGCCAGAGTCACCACCCCGCCCCCAGGTGAGGGGCGCCGACCCCGCCCGCCGGCTCGGGCCGCCACCCGGGACAGCCGCGGAGTCCGGGAAGCGACCGACAGCCCGAACCGGCCCGTGCCCGCCTCCCGGGGTCCGCCCGCATCCCGTCCCGGGCCCGGCCCCCACATCGACCGTCCTCCGACTCACCCCCAGCGCCGACACCCCCGGCACGGCCCGCGGCTCCGCGCCGCCCGTACGCCCGCCGGCCCCTCGGAGGCCGCCCTTGCCTCACCTCCTCACGTCTTCGGGACCAGGGTCGGAACAACTCTGCCTGGCGCCCACGTCCCACCCGCCGCCCGCACTCCGCCGCCGGGCCCGTCCCGTTCGCTCCGCGGCTGAGAGGGCGGAGGGAGAGAGCCCGAGGGGAGGGGAGGAGGCCGCGGGCAGGAAGAGGCGAGGAGGGGGCGGGCTGAGGGAGCTAGTCGGGAGCGCGCCCGTGCAGTCCCTCGGCGCGGCGTGCGCGCTCCTGAGAGCGGAGGCGCAGGCTCTGTCTCCGGCGGTGACGCGCACACGCCCCTGCCGAGCCTAGCTTCGGCTGTGGTCGGAGTGACGACCTGCGCGGGCCTGGGTGGTTGGAGTGGGGGCCAGGGAGGGGGCCTTCCGGAGCGTAACCGCGTCCCGGAGCCCGCTCCTCCCCGAGCCCTGCCCTGCGGCTACTGAGTTCTTAGATAATTATGAGTCTGGGGAGATTACGTTGTTGCTCGTACACTTCGTTTGCATATTTTCATTCTTCATGCCCAGGAATCCTCAGGGAAGTCCCCTTAAAGAATAGTAACTTTTCTTGCCTGTTAGTCTTTTCTGTGCCTCTTTCAAGGTGTCTTGCGTGCATATGAAGCGCTCTCTGGCTGGTTGTGTGGGACTCGGGGGAGATTGAAGAGGGAAATAACCTTCGCGGAAAGAACAGGAAAGCGCTAACACTATTATTTATTTTTGGGAAGAAAATGTGCCCTCATCACCTTTCTGTCCTTTGGGGTAACAAATGTGGGGTACAAACAAGTAGAGATTAAATAAACCAACTTTTTCCTCGACAAATATTGTATGATCCTTGTGCTGTGGACAGATATCCTCCCTTCCTAGATCCTGCAGAAATAATCTGTAATTTTTCTGAATTTCCTCAGCGCGTTTCTGTAGGTTTGTGGCACCTAATATATTCAACCTTATCTACATAAATCTGTGCAATATTTTATCCCCCTAGAGAATCCTTGAGGACCTACTTCATTCATTTTCATATTTCCACAATGCCTAGCATAGCGCCTGACTCAGAAAGTACTCCAGAAATGTCATGGTATGAGGGATTATAACCCAGCAAGAGTTCAACATATGCTCAATGATTTCAGCTGTAGAATGACTTCTATAGTTTAAAATTCTCCTTTCAGCCCCACTTCAATTCCCCTGCACTCATTTCCCCACCTAGATCCAAAAGCTACCCTAAGAAATGTGACATTTGTCCAAAAGCCCCTCTCTCTCAAGTTCTTTTGTTTCCCTTTTTACTAATTTAAATGTCTATGGATGCTGGGTCATATCAAGAGTGCTGCAATTCTTTTGTGTTGCCCCCACCTACTGGGGGCCTTCCCAGAAGGTCCTTTAATCTATCTCTGTATCCCAAGAGTCTGCTTAGAGCTGAACCTGACTCAGTAAATGCTCAGAGTTTGATATTAATACAGTTAGGGTTAGAATAGTGTCTTGCCTGAGGCTTTCAGCCTCGGGCAAGTTCCCTATGAATTCAGGAGACCAAGAAATGACAACAGAACACTCTTGGGGTAAAAGGGTTTATACCTGGCTTTATTCTCGTGATGGTAGGTCAAGCACTAGAATCATGTCTGCATCCAGCAGTCTGCATGCAGGTCCATAATCCACATATGTCTCTGACTCTGCCCAGAGCACTGGGCCCAGCTCTATTATATAGTGACTCAGTCAATAATAGCTCATTGCCCATGGGTGTGAAAGCATTAGCCTTGCAGTAGGTCAATTACATCATCAAGTAGTTTAGGGTTAGTTGAGGATCCTGGCCATAGGAACTTCCATTTTCCCCGACAAATAGCTCAAAAATCGTCAGTATCTATTAAAAAATAACTCAACAATTATTTATTAATAAGCCAAAAGTAGGTACTAAGCCTCTACTAAATAAAGTACAAGTAAAATTACACTGGGTACCATGAGGAAGTCAACAGATGAAAAAGAATTTCTGCCTTGTGATTCCTTCTAACTGGACAAAAGCTTTTTGACAAAAAGGGCAATACTGTGGGAACTATCTGCACTCACTAAGTAACAGCCCCCAAAAAAGGAAATAAATATTTAAATTAATTAAGTCCAAAATAAGTTTAGTGTCCCCCATAAATTCAGTTCCATATGCCTTTGGCAACAATAATAATGTCCAAATGTTAGCCATTACCACTTAATTTTAGAGCTAGCATCTAAGTCACTACTGTAGGATCAATCTGTGTGCCAGCTTGCTACAAAAACAAAAACTGTTCCATGGCCACATGTTGCACCTCTAATCACCAGGGGTCATTCTATAAAACTGAATCATTCCTCACAGTAGAACTTAGATGTCACAAGACAACCTAGATAAGACACCAGTCACAAGAGAACCTAGATAAGAGACACTGAAGGTGATTTGGTACAAAGTGATCCTTACCAGCAGGAAAACAATTCTAAGTACTGCCAAAGAATTAATAACAAAGCATTCTTCATATAATGTGTGCCACTCATTTCTCTCCCCACTAGGGCTTCTTTTGCAATAAATGTATGTTAACAGGCCTGGTCCATGAAAGGACTGAACCTCTCACTTTGGGGGAAGGTGTTATAAAATATTCTAGCATGATTCATAACATGACAAACTGGTGGCATAGGTCCAGATCTAATGCACAAACACATTTTGTTTGGCCTACTTGGTGCTAAAAACAATTAGCCAAAGTTAAAAGCCAAAAGATTTCACACGTATTCTAGGCATCTGTTTTAAAAGTGAGAGATTTTTGTAACAGTGGGCTTATGTTTTTACATGGTGGCAATCAGCTACAGAACATGCATTCTCTTTTCCCAAAGTTTCCACATTCCCAATTGTGCCTTACACTGCCCTACTTCCCTCACATGGGTCTGCAACTCCCAATTTTAAAAATCATAATATCAAAAGGCTGGAAACAAGTTAAACAATGAACAAAAGAGCAAGAGTTTAAACTATGGTATTTAATGGGGTGGAATGTAATATTGCTTTTATAATGGGCATCTCTCTGCAATTGTGAGGTAGCTATTGGTCTAAATGGGCGTAGGCCCAGCTCCAGCTTCAGGTGTGAGCCCTAACTAACATATATAATCAGCTTAACCCAGTCCTCACCTGACTGTCAGTGTTCTTGGAACAGTGTTCTTAGAATGCTAATGCAGTTCTAAATTAGTCCAATCATAAGGAAGGCCAGATCTTGCATTTGTTGGAGAAGAAAAGTGCTCTTTGTTTTACTGTGGCTGGTGTGATGGGCAGAGGTGAATTCAAAGTTACTGCAGCCAATTTGCTACCATGAGGGAAACCAGCCTGACACGTGATGGAAGAGCTCAAACACAGCTTGAAGTCTACCCCTTCCTCTGGATTTAGTAAATTCTGAGTCAGTAAGTCATCTTAGGTATTAAAGAAAGTTTTAATTTGTTTTTTTTATTACTTGCAGCCAAAGCTAAATTTTTTATTCATGTTACAGAAGAAAAAGCTGTAGTTGTATTATCTGACTCTTTCTAAGGATACATAACCAATGAGATGAATAATGACAACCCACTTGGTAAAATTTTAGAGTCTTGAAAGGACCTTGACCACCTCCAAAAAATCATTTTTTAACTAGGTTCCCTGGAACCTGAGAATCCATCACTACACTTTTTTCTTACTTGTACTTAAATCCTGTTTAAGTCAACATACCCTGAGGATACTTCATAAATCTAATCAGCAGTCATGTATGAATTAGTTCATTGTATGGTTTTTTATTGGTGTTTTACTAATGGTAAGGAAGATTAGAAAAGAGACACTGGAATCTGAGAATGGAGGAAATCACAGAGAGAACAAAGATACAATCAAGGGGACAAATTTTTATATTTTATGTTTCACGGTTTTATATGGGGCTGAATTTCAGAGTAGTTCAGGCAAATCATACTAAGTTTATCTGATAAACAAAACCTATATTACAATCACTTTTTTAAGACTGAATAAAAACAAAATCAATATGTATATTGGGGTCAGAAAGTTTCCTCACCAGTGGAAAAGGCAGGCAGAGCAGAAAATGTCTCTCTGAAGAATAGTTAACATACTACTTTCGTTATTTGATAAGAAATAAAAAGGACACCTATCAAAAACTCTTTTTTCCATACCTTGTGGCAGGTGTCTGAAATTCACCTCAACATCAGAAACATTTTCTTTGGTCTGGGCATTGATCCTCTTTAATATAAAATAAAATTACCTTGGGAGTTTATTTTTTTAAATGTAGACTTCTATGCTCAACCCCTAACAGATTCGGTTACTCTGGGAGAGGCCCCAGAGCTTGCCTTAACTTTTTATTACAAAACTGTTAAAGCACTTAAAAAGTAGAATAGTATAATGAATCCTCATGTGCCACTCAGCTTGAACAATTATCAACATATGACTAGTTTCCTCTTTCCTCACCTCTCACATGGATTTCACCCATAAATACTTCATTATACAGTCCTAAAAGATACAGATTTGTTTTTGCAATCAATAAAATCTAGAATGTGGGAAACTTTACAGAACAAGTCTTTAACAAATAAATTGCATAAATAAAAATGGGAAGAATGATGTGTTGAGCTTGCTTGGATGTTGGTTTTGTTTTTCACAACTTCATGAGGTATAATTGCTCTACAATAAATGGCACATATTTAAAGTATAAATTTGACAAGGTTTGACCTATGTATACACTTATAAAACATCACCACAGTCAAGATAGTAAATATACCCATCTCCCAAAAGTTTCCATGTGCCTTTTTGTGATTTCTCTCATCTGCTCCCCTGTCCTCAGACAACCACTGATCTGCTGTCACTATAGATTAGTTTGCATTTTCTAGAATTTTCTACACATGGAATCATACAATATGTGTTTCTTTTTTTGTGTGGCCTCTTCCACTCAGCGTAATCATTTTGAATTCACTCAGGTTTTTGCCTTGTGCTCTTCCAGTTATTAGTCTTCATGTTTCCAGTTTCAGTACCCACAGTAGGACATCGACTGGCCTTCAGCAAGACCTTGGCTTGAACTTCCTTGGATGCTCTGTTTTATTATTTTCCTTTCTCTAGA